AATCGGTTATGCCCGAATGTCAGACGATGGTAATCTCTTCGAGGGCCTCTTGTGGTGAAAGGGTAATTGTTGACTCTTGCGCTAATTTACTCAACTATTTTTTGTGTTTCAGATGACAAATCACGAGTGCTTGTGGTTCCTCTTGTGTGGCTGCGCGATCACTGCCGTGATCCCCAGAGTTACAATGCGACGACAAACCAAAGAGTCTCCAACGCCACAGATCTCTTCGAGAGGGCCGAAATTGAAGGCGAGCAGAGCGTCAGTATCGCGAATGGATCCGATCTGACGGTCAGCTGGAAAGACGGGTTGCGATCTGTTTTTCACGTCGATGACATCGTTAGGGATTCAGAAGTGGATCAACCGTATCCAGTTGTCGATTACATGAAACCGTGGAAGCGGTTAGAAAAGGACGAATTGCCGCGAATTCACATGTAAGTTGAGACGGGTGGTGTAAAGGCACATTCTGTGGTCAAAGGATATGCATAGAAATGGGCGGAGACTTACAAACATTGTGGCGTTTACATTGGTCCGCCCTTGCTTTTGAAGTGTGAAAGAGGGATGCAGCTATGAGGAAGGCTTGAAGGCAAGCGGCACGATAAACCTCCAAGCCGTGTTGGATTATTACGCCTAGCAGGACAGAATTCGGCTGCCCGCCCGCCCACAAATGTGCGACCGAAGCTGATGCTCGTATCGCTCCATTTGCTAACCATAAGTAAATGTGAAGCGAAGGGATTGGTATGAAGCGGCCGTGGTGCTGCATGGATATATGGTACACACATGCAGCCGTATCTACCGTAGCGGTGATTGGCACGATGCCTACGGGAAACTCGTCCGAAATCGCTTTTTGGTTCGAGTAAAACAAAAGTTTTTTGGCGGATTTTTGCTCGTTTCACTTTGCTTTTTCGCTGTTTTCTCACTGGATAGCACCTCTACCACCATATTTCAACGAATACCAAATTATCGCGCCTCATGCCTTTCGGTTGTACGTTTCCGCACATTTCCCTGCCCTCCCGAGTATTGCGGAGTGTGCCTTTAAAAACAAAACAAATCGCTTGTCATTTGTTACTGATGAAGTGCCAGGCACGTCCGCGCTCAGAACTGTAGTGGCTTACAGCATTATTCGGCTGGAAGGCACGGTTCGCGGTAAGGAGCGTAGGTAGCGGTGTTGAAATCTGAAAGAGAAGTTGTCAAGTGACTCTTCTGTGAGGAGGAAAATACCGAAGGGAACGTCGGTACCGCCGCTAGTCAGTTCCCTCCTGCCTCAAACAACTGTTAGGATAAAAGGCCAGAAGCGTGTGGCGACGAATCCAGTCGGCTGATCCCTGTAATGAACCCTATCACATCATAAGAGACCGTGAAGCATCTATTTCATGCTATTTGTCCGGTAGCATTGCTTTTGACTGGATTTGGACTTTGTGGGCAGAGTCTGGAGGCGGAGTCACTGGAGAAAGGAAGATGGCTCTGAAGAAACTTGTTGGGCCTTAACTCCTTTACCATACAATTTCCGCATAGAAACCGGCACTAGGCTGACCTACAGCGTACTGTACAGCGTAACACACTAGCTTTCCCACGTAATCTTTTGTATTTTCATAGGACGTCATGAACCGTTCCTCTGATCGTGAGGAGCGGGGGGAATCAGAGCTCTTGTACTTCCGCTGGTTCCTTTTGCTACTGCCTGTCAAACTTCACGTCACACCTCGGGAGACCTGTAGAATCTTGCCAACAGTGAACTCCTAGATAATGCATAGTTTTACGGGATGTTCAGG